CGAAAGCACTTGCGGAGCAAGTGGCGCAGGCCTAATGAGGGTGTGTGTCCTGGGGAGAGTACAGAGGGCCCAATACAGCAGCATGGAGGGCCACATTTGGCCCCTGGGCCTAAGGTTCCCTGCTACTGCACTGGAGACTCTTATTTCCTGTTAAGTAGGACTGTATACCTTCCCTTTCCTCCTCAGCTTTAAACTCTAAGTTATAGACATGTTCACTTTGATACTGTCGGCTGGAATTGCTTGCTATCAAGCCTTTTAGCTGCCTAGTTGGATCCATTTATTTTTAATGTAAAAGACATATAGGCAATTTAGAGCCAACAGTAATGGAAATGTATTATAAATGTCAGAGGTTTTGAGTTAGAGCACCGTTATAAAACTTTATGTACACACTTTATACACACGCAGCTCCTTCCTGAGTTGTAACAAAAAGGCCTGGTTAACATTATTTCTTACATCTTTACTCTCCTGATTAACCACCTTCCTCCTTAATATCTCATCCATCCTTGATTTCACCCAGTTTGGGCACCAGCCATGTATGCATTAATGATTAGTGCTAACCACAAACAGGGACGTTTTTCAGTGTATGTTTCTCTCAAGTGAAATCTGCCCCTCACTATTTCAGTGATTCCACTGTGGAAGTTTTGCTTCTTTTATGACAGTAGGAAGGGCACCCTTCCAGGAGACAATCAAGCTGTGTCTGGCCTATTTTAGTCATTCAGGTAGATACTCCATAGTTTGTCTCCTCAGAGCCCTGATTGGTAAAAGCTTTGACACAATTTCTCCCCTTCAGTCGTACTTATTCCTAGTAGTGGTAATATTATCATGTCACATAACCATGTACTGAGCTCAAAGGAAGCCAAATCAGACTGAGGGCAATGTTGTTGTTTTTTTGAAAAGGCACTGCCCTCCCTCTAAATTAACTTAGTTTCCATCAGCGATGTCACCACATAACCAAACCTGGTTCCTATAGGCCTCTGGTTGAGCACTGTAAACAGGGGTACTAGGCTAGATGGGCCTTTGGTCTGATCCAGCTGGGCTCTCATGTTCTTATTAGCTGGTCATGTGTGGGCTGAATTTTGATTGGCTTAAGATTGCAGAACCCCCTTACCCCATTCCCCATGCTATGAAATTGGTGGAGTTTTAGCAATTAGTGCTTGGGGAAAGCATTGGTATCCTGTAGTATAATAGCTTTCTCAGGAAAGTTTGGAGGGATGATTTCTTCAGGCACCCCTTTCTGGGACAGGTTATCCCTGTCCTTCTGATATGGTGATGCAAATAAGGTCATGATTCCAAGGATTTATAGACCTTAAAAAAAATCCTCTCTGGAGATCTATCTCTGTCTAGGAAAATAATGTCAACATATCATTTGCTGATTTGTGTCTCCTGTTTGAATCCTCAGTTACTTGAGCACCCAATTGCTTGATGTTGCGTATACAGCCTCTCTCAATCCTTCTTCTGTTGTAAACATGGGCAACTGAGATGCTGCATCAAGTGCTCACATCTGAGATGCTTCACACATTAAAACTGATGGCTATTCCGTATTCAGACCTCATTTCCAGTGCTGAAATATTGATTAGACTGAACTATCCTATCCAGAGCTCATACATTTTGTGCTGATACAGGATATTTCTTAATCCCTTTCACTGGTTATTTGTGTTATGTAGATGCTAATGAAAGTGTGCACAAAGACAAACTACACCAGGAGTAGCCAATGAAGTGCATTCTAGATATTGCAACTCCCATCAACCCCAGACAACCATGCCAATGATTAGGGATGATGGGAGTTATGAGCCAACAACATCTCAAGGGCACCATGTTGGCTGCCCCTGAACTAGACCATGTCTCTAGGAAGACGTGTGGTTATAGAGGAGTAGCATGATGCAATTAAACATACCTTGGTTTATCAATATCCTTTAGTAAGGCAGTTCATACACAGTTAATAATTGGAGATATCAGAGACCCTATAACCATTAAAATAAACCACATTTTCAGTAGCAGAATATTAGAATTTTATTGAAATTGCAACAACCATCACCATTAGTCATAGTGTATTTAGATATCTTACTCATCATTCATGATAAAGTCCTAGTGCAGGTTCCAGCAATGTAAAAATTTACAAGTGCAGCACATATCTCAGATGTCAAAGAACAGGGTCAGGAGATGTGTCTTCAGCACATTATGAAGCTTGTATAATGAAGGTGCCAGATGCACATCTATGGAGAGGGAATTCTACAATTCTACCAGCTGTGACAGAGAACACTCTCTCCTGGGCCACCCCACCAAACCTCTGAGGGCAAGGGAACTAGCAAGAGGACCATCTCTACTGATCTTAACTTCTGAGGCAGTCCATAGGGAAGAAGATAGTCTTTCAGATTTTTGGGACCAAAGAATGTGGCCTGCTCTGAATAATCCTGGTGCAAGGGCAAATGAGGCAAAGGGTGGCTAGGTCAGGGTGCTTATTAATTTGAAGCTGATAGCCTTTTTTGTGTGAACATAAGTTGGCACAAGCTGGCATATGGACCCTTGAGTCAGATGCATGGAAACTTAGGGAGTATTGAAGTGCAAAAGTCCTGCAATTTTGTGAGTTAAGGGGGCTACAAATGGATTATTTCCAGAATCTCAGAAGACATAAATGAGCAATTCATACGTACTATATTACATTAGTTTTCCAGAAGTGGCTTTTACATTGTGTGAAAGCTCAAATATTGTGCACAGGAAATTGCCAGGGAAACAGAATAAAATGCCATGTGAATATAGCCAAAGAATAACTTCATAAACTGCATGCATTTTGGAACAAGGGCTCCCAGCATCCATCACCTCACACATCTTGAGAAGAGAGACATTAATTTGCACCCAAGTGAGGTTATAGGAATGTGGCTGTAATTGTGCTGATAAAGCGTGTTCTCCTTCATGGAGAGCACGTGTTGCGGTGGGGGCTGCCAGGACACTCCAAAGTTGGGGGCGGGCTAATTGTTCCTTGGCCACTGATGCGATTGGGGCTTCCCTTGTTGTTAGGAAGAAGTTAATGTTGCCATTTGTTGATTGACAGCCAGAAATGCTAAAACTCCTTGCACGAGGCTAGGGCTTCCTCTTTTCGACCGTGCATCGGATTGCCCGTCCCCCCCTCCCTAGAATTAGGGTTGTTCGCTTTGACCTTGCTATGCCTGTCATGGGGTCGTCTGCTCTTGGGGCAGGGGCCTGGTAGGAATTTTGTCCATCTGGCTGATTGGCTGGGGCCATTTGGTTTTTGCCTACTGCGTAGCAAATCGTCACAACTTGTAAGGTTGTGGTTAGGCATTGGTTTATGGTTTGGTTGGTTGAGGGAAGTGGTTGAGTGCCTGCCCTTGGTAGGTTGAGTGCCTGCCCTCTAATGCTGCTGCTGCAAGGGATTCCGTTAAAGGATTTGGGGGCTAACTATTGCTTGTCCACTCTGTCAAGGGGGCTCAGGCCATAGCAATGAGCTCCTGGTTGCATTTGGGGTGAGGGCAGGTTCCCTGCTCCGCGTAACCCCCAAGTGTATTCCCCTATTCTGACTTTCGCATCGTGCAGAATGTCAGTCTCTCCCCCATGGTGGGGGCAGATAGTCGCAACCAATGCCTAAGCAACCACTCACAAATTTGTATTTCAATAAAGTTGTGGCCAAAATTATGCCAAAAATCTTAAACAAAAAATTCTGTGTGATGTGTGAGTTATTGGGGTGGCCCTGGGGACCTCGACACGCAACATAATAGCAGTGGGTCAATTCTAATCATGAACAGCTCTGGAAATTACATTTATTGCACAGAAATCATAGGTTATACCCTATTTCTTTGTAAATGCTTGATTTCCAAGGGTTTGTATATTAATTTTGTTCATATCCTTATCCACTCAAGCTTTGCAATTAAAAAAGTGGTTCAAATGAGTAGGTAATATTCTCAAGTCAACATGTCATCTGCAGCAAAGAAAATCAAGTTTGCATTTGTTGATTAGATAACAGGTCAACCATACCATGATAATAGCATAATTACAATTGTGTCATCAGCAGAGTGTGTGATTTGTAGTGTAAAAGGAATGGAAGACTTCAAAGTCCAGCATGATCAAAACTGAATGATTTAATTCATGGCACCAGTGATGCATATGTTACTCAACATGCAGTAAAGTCCCATTATTTGTCATGAAACTTAAACTAAGTTCTGCTCCAGGAATTGAGTTACAACGAGCATTATGTTCAGCCTCATGGTCTAAATCAGGGGTGGGGAGCCTTTTTCAGCTTGAGGGGCACTTTCCACCTAGGGAAACCTTACAGTGGCAGCAAGCCAATAATGGGTGGGGTATGGGGGAAGTGGGTGGAGCAATGAATGCAACTCTTTCCTTTATATAACAGGTTACATACATTCCAGCCACACAAATGTCTGAGGCTTCTATCTCTCCATAAAAGTAAGCAAGAGGTATCATGGTAGTTGAAGGACACATCCCAGTCTGGCGAAAACACTCAAGGAGGGTGCAGAGCAGATTCTAAGGGCAAAGAGGCTCTTGTAACTGGGGATGCATCAAATGGCATGGGGCCAAGAAGCACCTTCCCTCATACAATAGTAATAATAATAATTTATTTATTGCATTAGCCGAGTGGCCATAGCATGATATACATTGAGATAACAACATAAAATGGGGGTGGGGAGGTAGAGGTAGACATCGTCCTGGGCGAATACTTAAAGAAAGTGGAGGAAAAAAAAAAAGCTGCTGAGGCTGGAGGAGGACCGTTAAGGGTCCTTCAGCTCCTCAGATTAGTCCTAACTCGATTGTCCTTGTACAATAAGGCTGCTTGGAACTTCGCTCGGTTGTGCGGCGTATCGACTGCATCTGTGGTGTTAAGGAAGAAGTTAGTGCCGCTTTCCTCTTTCATCACACTAAGCAGGAAATTAGCTGTCATCTCAGTAATCCAACAATCAGAATCCTGCAAAGAGGGACCCTATCCAAGGCTGGATTGGGAGATGGAACTTATTCACGAGGGGAGTTAAAACCGAGATCTTTCATCTGTCCAGTTGGGACAGAAGAGCATTACATGTTCCATAGTCTCCAGGGCCGTGTCATTACAGGAGCATGTTCTGTTTTGCGATGGGAACTCTGGAATAACGACCCGACAGAACTGCTGTAGGAAAACAGCTGAGACGGGCACAGGTAAAAGCCCTTCGCTTAAGTCTCCAAGAAATTGTGAAGCAGTATAGAGGATCCCTTCAGGGGTGGAATAGCTAGGGCTCAGGCCTGAACACGGTCCTCTTGCACAAGAAGCTGTGTTGGAGAAGTCAAGGTTGCTGTAGTTTCTTTTAATTAGGGGTAGGGCCACCGGGCTGATACACTCTAAGTTAAGAACAGTTTTACAATTCAGATTGAGAAGAGAGCGGAATTTGAGGTTAATTGTAGTTTTCCAAGGGGAATTATGAATATCTCTTAGGATCAGATTGGAAAAGCCACCTCTAACTCGAGCATCCGATGCTAATAGGTGGAGGGTGTAGGAAATGGCTCGGCCCATGCTCGTCCTAGCACTGGTGAAGGCTGGGCGAACTCGAGTCGGAGGGCTGCACCTGAGACACATCTCGGGACGCCGGACAGAGATCTCAGAAACATATGAAGTGGACGATCCAGGTTACCTGATATTGCTGTAGTCCATACTTCACATCCATATAATAATTTAGGGACGACTTTGGCATTAAATATTTGAATTGCTGCTGGAAGGTGTTTGCCGCCCTTCTGGTGGTAAAATCGGACAATGGCGTTAGAGGTCGTGGTTGCAGCGAAAGGCAGATTGTAGATGGGTGGTCCAGGAGAGATTATAGGTGAATATTAATCCTAAATATTTAAAGGCTTTTACCTTTTCTAAGTAGCCACCTGTGATCTTAAGCGGCTCCAACTTGAGTTTGCGGGAACGAGTGAAGTGGAGGACTTTCGATTTTTTATAATTACTATTAAGAGCTCGCCTTACAATAGGCGATAAATGCATTAACTGCATTTGCTAGATCCGCAGCTGTTCTGGATAAGATGACGGCATCATCAGCATAGAAAAGGGAAGCAACGGGGTGGCCTGCTAAGTGAGGAGGATACTTAGATGCTAGCTTCAAAGTGGGAATTGCATCATGAAGATAGAGATTAAACAGTAAAGGGGCCAAGAGGCAACCTTGTCGGACGCCCTTGGCCGTTGGAAATGGAGTAGTGGGGGAGCCGTTTGGTAATAGTAATCATGGAACCATATGAAGACATAGCAGTGCAAGTGGCTTACATGAATAATTGAACCCTGCAACCTTAAGCTCCCAGCTTCAAGATTTTGCCCTTCAGTGCTTGGAGGATAGCAAGATTCAGCAACAGGGACAAAGCAAAGTAGGTAGGGCCAGTCAGTGTGGCCCTGTTCCACATTTCCATGCATTGGACATTGAATTCCTGAATAGGGGTTTTGTGACCTTCCATTTGGGATCTGGAACATCAGGATGTTAATTATCCAATAACATAGGGAGTAACACAGGAAGCTTATGCTGAATCAAAGTATTGGGCCACCTAGCTAAGTATGATCCACACTGACTGTGGCTCTCCAGAGCTTCAAATACAGGTCATTCCAAGCCCTGCATTCCAAGCCAGTGTGACGTAATGCTTAGAGTGTTGGACTCGGAACCCCACTCAGCCATGAAGCTCACTGGGTGACCTTGGGACAGTCACTGTCTCTTAGCTTACCTACCTCACAAGGTTGTTGTGAGGATGAAATGGGGAGGAGGAGAACCAGGTGACCACCTTGAGCTCCTTGGAAGATAAAGGTGGTCTATAAATGTAATAAATAAATAAATGATGATTATGTTGTAAACCACCCTGTTATCTTCGGATGAAGGGCAGTATAGAAAACAAACAAACAAACAAACAAACAAACAAACAGGATTGGACCTGAGACTTTCTGCATGCAAAATGATTACTTACCCACGAGGTACAGTTCTTCCCACATCTATAGTCCAAACAAATAAATGGATGTTCTCTTAAAGCATCATCAGACTAGTGGTGATTTAATAGCACCCAGTGCAATTTATCATTTCAAATGCCTTTTTAAAAATTCTACCAGCGTCCCAGACCCAAGGTCAAACTTTTGGGAAACAAATGCAGTGATAACACACTATGCAACATTTCTTTTTGCTGAGCTCATTTCATATGTAGTGCATGAAGGGAAAGACACAGGCAATGTGCTTGTTTTCAAACTGGTCAGCCTCTGTAAAACTGTGATCTAAAAGAACACCATCATGACACCATGAACAAATTCAACACTACATATCCCAAAGACAAACAGGCAGTGAGCATTCCTGGTCTTAGGGCTCAGTCTCAAGAAAGGGACGTGCTCCTGGTGTTCCACAATGTCAGCAGAACAGCAATCCTGAAAGGCCTTTGGCACTACAGCAAAACATCTTGAAGGGTGAGATGTGCTGTGTGGTTTATTGTTAATTCTTTTTGCAGTTCTTTCCCACCAAATTCTGAAACAAAGACTTTGACACATGCTCTCACATCCCTTGTAAATATGATTTTGCAAGGCCTGGATGTCACAAAATGAGATGTGCTTGCTGTTCAGCTGTCCTCATTTCACAACTCACTGTTATTGAGCTGTGTGAAGAAGAGAAAGAAGAGTGTCGAGGCATCTGATGTTGTTGAAGCAGAGCTCAAGAGATGGCCGTGGCATGAAAATTTATACCCAAACTAGAAATCGTGTACTGCTGATTAACAACAATGTTGTTTTGAGGCAGGTTCCAGGTAGGTAGCTGCGTTAGTCTATTGCGGCAAGAATAGCAAAGAATCTTGGAACCCCTTAAAGACTCAGAATTTTATAGTGGCATTAGCCTTCATTGGCCTGACGCCACTTTGGCTGATGCATAAAGGGGACACATTGAGTAAAGATATATAATGATGGCCCCAGGCAAGCCTTCCTGGTGAGAGCATTGCACAAGCAGGAAGCCACCGTAGAAAAGGCTCACTCTTGTTTGGCCACCCTCTGGATCTCTTGTGGAGGAAACAAACAAAGAAGAGCCTCAGGTGAAGATCACAGGGTTTGGGTCAGTTCATATAATGACATTAGATGACTTACAAGTGGTTAACCCTGCCCACCTATCAAAGCTGGTCTGTAGGATGGGAAGAAAAGATCTGGCCCACCAGGCCAAAAACATTCCCCACTCTTGTTTTTGTTTTTAGCAAGCTAGAATTCCTAAGGAATTTGTGCATTGGTGAATTTTGTATGGTTGTTCCCAATATCCAAAGGTTCCAAGGAACAGACATTTCATTTGTGCAACATCCAAGTCTTCATGTATTTCAAAATTATTGATGAAATGATGCTATGTAATGGAAGGAGGAGACGAAGAAGAAGAAGAAGGTGAAGAAGAGATTACACTGTTATTCTATCTCATTACTGATGTTACAATGGTGTGCCCACTTCTGAGTGATGGTGATATTCAAGTCCAGCATAACCTCGGTCACATTCACACCATATATTTCAAGCATGCTTATACAATTGTAACAGTCATGGCCTGTCCCCAGAGAATCCTGGGAACTGGCAGTTGTAGTTCTTAGCAGATCTCCAAACCCTTAACAAACTACAGTTCCCAGACTTCTTTGGGGGCAGGCCATGACTTTTAAGGTGGTATAAGACTATTTTAAATGTAATGTGTGGGTGTGACATTTGCTATACGTTGACTGGTTTATTGGAATTCTAGGCAGTTAGGCTCTAACAACTCACTCAGAATTCTGGTACAAGAGTGAAAGCCACAGTATATTTCTAGTGCTCCTATTAGGAGCCCCATGTTACCTCCAGGCAGTGTTTCAGATTGAATTTAACAGACCTCTTGTTCCATTTAGGTCTATCTGTGACCTTGACCTTGCTTCAGTATATCAGAGACCTGGAGGCGCCATGTGCTTCCAGAGAAGCCTTTGTAGTACAGTTCTGAGGTTTACAGATTTCCCTCCTTTTAAGGCAGGCATTCTCAGACTTTATCATGCAAAGCATGTGTGCGCAATGAACAGGCACACCAGCACCACATAATCCATATTTATAAGATGGATCAACAGCAAATGTGGATTTTTTTCTGTACAATATTAAGGCAATAGAGCTGGATAACATAGCTCAAGTAGCTTCTAAAAACAGGGGAGATGCCCATTGCTACTGCTTGTAAGTGGTGCAAAACAGAAAGAAAAAGAAGAAGAAAGAAAATGCTGCTGCTAAGGATTATGCATCAGTCAGTTTTAGTTTCTCATTTTCCCAACTTTAAGTTCAGTTCTCCACACTAGCTTGCAATTTTTAAATGAAAAATTCTTCAGCATCTTAGAATTTGATGTATGCAGTTCTGCCAAATATACACATTTTTGCAAAACAATCTTCTTTAATAATTTTATTTATTTATTATATTTGTATACCGCCCTTCATCTGAAGATCACAGGGTAGTTTACAATATAAAAACACAACAAAGCTCAGTGGGGCCGAAGAATACTCCCCAAGCATCACCCTCTGGAAATGACCACCCAGGTGGGACTGGAACCACCACAAAGTAGAGCCACCCTCCCCTAACTTGGACAGACACTCCAGAGGTATACCATCATAGATGGCATTGAAGCCTGCTAAGAAGTCAAAGGAGAATTTACAGGGACACATTTTCCCTGTCTCTCTCCTGACACAAGTAATCATACAGGGAGACCTAAGCAGTTTCTGTGTGAAAACAGGGCAAAAACCCTAATTGAAATGGATCTAGAAAATCAGTTTCATCTAAGAGATAAAAAAAATGCATTTTTGTATTCTAACTAATTTTATATGCACACTTTCTCCAAGTACATTAATTTCTGTACACATTACAGCAATATGGGCAACTGCACTGCAAAATTCATTGAAGTGTGGATTTTGAAGACTGGGTGTATTTTTTTGTTCATTAAATTTCTCCCTTAATCCCAAGGAGGCCTTGGCTTTAAGGGCAAAATAAATACCTTGTTTCTCTGATCCATTTTATTGCACTCTTTTCATAAAGGGAGAAGAAGAGATCCACTGGTTTTATGTACTGTATTTGGTATAAAATCCATTTGGCCATTTGTTTCTTAGCCTCCTCTCAACCTTCAGTGCTGCATGTCAGATCCCAGATGGCCCAGATGACTACCTACCTAGTAGTCTTCAAAGAGAGTCAGAGCATCACTATTCTGATGTCCCTTAATGAAGTAGTAACCACGCTGAACGCACTCTTGTGCCAGGAAGCAAGCTTATACATGTTTGCTATGTTCAGTAGCACTTACTCCCAAGTAAGCATGTAGTTAGGGATGGAGGAGAAATTCAATTCACATTTGATGACAAACGTATTTAATTTGTACTTTTTGGAACATGATGTGAACTGAAATAAAGCAGTTCTTCAAAAGTCACACTTATCTGAATTTTGCAGCATGGTTCTTTAGCCATGTAATGTGTGCTAAAGTGCATACTAGGATAATGTACAGGCAACTCCTATTTTGCACACATTCAAAGATCTTGTGACCATGTATACATGCATCGCTACAACCTGAAAGTGGCAGGAAAAGGAGTCGGAACAGGGGTGCAGTGGAGACAGAATGGGCTTCCACATGCTCCGCCGATGTATGTGGGGGTCAGGAATGCAAACCCCATGTAAAACAGTCATTCTCTGTATGCATACAAATGCATATATTAGTCAAAATAATATACAAAAATATGTTGTTTTAGGGATAAAGTGGTACCTCCAGTTACAAACGCTTTGGGTTACAAACGCTTCAGATTACAGACTCCACTAACCTGGAAGTAGTACCTCAGGGAAGACACAAGACTTACCCACTCTGGAAGAATGGCAGATGAAGGTAATTGATTATATGGAATTGGCGGAAATGACTGGCAGAATCCGTGACCAGGGAGAAGAGTCGGTGGAAGAAGATTGGAAGAAATTTAAAGACTATTTACAGAAATACTATAAAATTAATGAATGTTAAATAGAGGTCTGATTGAAAATAACAGGTATTGGCAAAAGCCTCGCATTTAAGAGTATGGAATATTTGATTGATAAGGTTGTAAAAATATTTATATATAAATAGATTAAGTTTCTTGAGTTAAGATAAAGGAAGGAGGGTAAGGATTTGCTGAAAGGAGTCTTTAAAAGGAAATACAAGTGGGGAGGTGCGGGGAAGTCAAAGAACCAAGGAAAGAATAGAAGGTTAAATGAAATTACAAATTTTTAAATTTTTCTGTTTTCTTCTTACTTTTATGGTTATTGTTATCTTTTGTTTTCTTTTTGTCACTGTTATTGTTGTCTTTTGTCTTTGGAATTTTTGTATTTTTGTATGTTTTGGAATTTTTGTAAAACCAATAAATATTATATTAAAAAAAAAAAAAGGAAGTAGTACCTCAGGTTAAGAACTTTACTTCAGGATGAGAACAGAAATCGCGGGGCGGCGGCGGGGTGGCGGCGGAGCAGCGGGAGGCCTCATTAACTAAAGTGGTATCTCAGGTTAAGAACAGTTTCAGGTTAAGAACAGACCTCCAGAACGAATTAAGTTCTTAACCAGAGGTACCATTGTACAGTGGTACCTTGGGTTACAGACGCTTCAGGTTATAGACGCTTCAGGTTACAGACTCTGTTAACCCAGAAATAGTACCTCGGGTTAAGAACTTTGCTCCAGAATGAGAACAGAAATCATGTGGTGGTTGCACAGCAGCAGCGGGAGGCCCCATTAACTAAAGTGGTACCTCAGGTTAAGAACAGTTTCAGGTTAAGAACGGACCTCCAGAATGAATTAAGTTCTTAACCAGATGTAATTGCTTTGCAAAAATGTGTATATTAGGCAAAACTGCATACAAACACCTGCATGTCAACATAAATTTCCTGATGTGCATTTATGAGAACTTTTAAAAATAAATGAATTGCAAACTGGTGTGGAAATGAAGACTGAAGATTGGAAGAGTGAGAAAATGAGAAAAACAGAAATTGACAGGTTCACACAGCTCTAAGCTGGAGCATTAGTTGATTGTTTTCGTTTTCATTCTGCTTCTGTGTAATAGCATACAGAAGTGGACTGTGGCATTATTTCGTAAAGTAGTGACATATTTTACAACCCAACTTCCCTATAACAAAAAAAAGAAGAAGGAAACCAGCTGTTTATAGCAGGTATTAAACCCCTACAGAGAATTTTAAATAGCGCCCTCCCCGCTCTTTGTAGTTATTCCTGTTTTGTACAGATCAAAAAGAAGTACAAAGAAAACCGAGGCTGGCTGCAGGTACTTTCGTCCTGATGGATTTAACATTTTGCATATCTTAACATGCAGTGCCTAATGCCTGTTCTTCCTGTTTAACCAGCACAACACTTTTATACTCTATCTATTAGCTTTGTATGTGGCCATAAATCTCCACCTACAGACTATCCATTAGGGAGCAGGATCAAAAGAGAGGTATTTAATGTTCTGCATTGTGTGTTCTCATGCTAATCCAGCCTCAGTGAGATTTAGAAAACTCAGTAAGGTTTATAGAAGCAAACGCCAAAGATTCACTTTTAAAAACACACACACAATAATCCCTAAATGCACAGCAGTCCACCGGGGAGGACCACCAGAGGCACAGGTACCTTTGATACCTGATAGATGCTCTACCTCCTCTAAAGCTGGGAATAAAGAGAGGGGAGGTTGTTACTGCTTTGCACATGACATTTTATTTAGGGGGGAAAGACATACGGCAGGGAATATTGATGATGGTGCACCAATGCAAGAATCTATCTAGCATGCTAAACCATTGAAGTGTTAAGATTTTAATGTACAATGACTTAAAATATAAATTTACTGTGTATGAAATGCATTATGCCAATATATTTTATGTCTGTGTGCATTCACACACACACAAACTTGTTTAATGGGTTGATTCCTTCAGTTTTCTTCAATAATTGTTTCAAGCTTCTGGCATTTATTTGGTTCTGATCTAGTCAAATGCTGGCAGGACATCTGTACTTGGGGATATTGGAATGGAGTTTGATGAAGTTTGACACACCATGCCTGAAATTGGTGGGGGGATAAAGAAATGCAAAAAATTGCAAACAGAATACTCAATAGTGTAAGCCATACTTATTCTCACACCTGAAATAGAGAGCGATACTGGAGGAAATGCATTCTGCAATCTGCTGCTCAAGGCAAAACCATTGTGTTGGGTATGTGCAAAGCTGATTCTTCATGAGTTAGTTGTTTTCGTATTTCAAGACTAGTATTATTGACTCTGATTGGCAACAAGATTGTGAACAAGGTTCCCCCACCCTGCTCCCAGGTCCTACTATGTGATTTATTTTGAACTGGCAGTACAGCCTTAGAGATGAAGTTTATGTTTCCAACCCTGTGTTATTATTTCCAACCCTGTGTTATTATTTCATCGTGAGGCAGGTCCTGGTGACCCAACTCTTTGCACTGAAAGTAATAATATATTAACTTTTCATTTATATTGTGTGTTGCTGCATTCATCCCCCTAACATACTGAATCAATGGGTCGGTAGCGGGTCACTAGTCTGGGAAACTGTGGCCCTCCATCTGTTGCTGTACTCCAACTTCTATCAGTCCTAGCCAGCATGGCTAATGTTCAGAGATGAAGGGAGGGCCCAAAGTTCCCCATCCCTACCCCAGACTGTCTGCCACAGAAGAAATCTCATGCAAAAAGGCCTTCAAAACACTTTCTCTTTGCTCTGTACTGTGCTGTCTCTAGGCTCTAAATGATGCCGCTTAAATCCTGTTTATGACATCTTGGCTGAGGGGTTAATCCCTTCATTGCTCAGGAGGTGGCACCATGACAATATAATGAGATTCATATTAACAAGAGATGAGTCCTTCTCCAAAGGAGACAAAAAAATACAGATGGCAGTGTGAAACCTACTAATTATTAAACTAATATACCAAGGCACTTTTAAACGAGAGCATTTAGTAGGCTAAAATCAGCAGTGCTAGATTTATTATATGTTTATTTTTGTGTGTGTGTGTGTGTGTGTGTGTGTGTGTGGTTTCTCCTGATTTAATTCAGGTGATTAAATGACCAATAGAATATGAGAGGGAGAGAGAGAGAGAAAGAGAGAGAAGAGCCAAGCATTAAAATTTACTGAAGTAGAGACCCTGCGAAAGTCAAAGCTCCGACAGGTTTATTCTAGTGTATCCTTCTGTGACTTGCTAGCCGGTTCTTCGTAATGGTAGATGGGCAAGGCGAGAAGAGTCGAGGCTTTAAAGTGGAAATGAAATTTCCTGCTCCATGGAAACTTGAGCACACAGTCATTAGTCTGTGTGACCGAAGAAAGTTCTGGGAAGTTTAGTGTATCAACCCACAGCAGGCCAGTCGCTGGAGAGCATGCTCAATTATTTAAGGGCAGTATGTTTCTGACACCCTTGCGGTGAATTCCTAATGAAGTGAGCCACCGGGAGAAGCATACCCTGGCGACCTCAAGGATTAAGGTGGGAAGGAAAGGTGGGGGGAGGCCATTAAACTGAAGCTGAGGCTGCCAAGTTGAGAGTTTGCAGTGAAACAGGGCGGGAGCGGAGAGAGAAAAAAATGAAAGCAAAATGTAATTCTTGGAACTTTTCCTCACCTGGCATGCCCCTAGGAAGAGATGTGCAATTGCATATCTTGCTTCTAATGAACAGTTGCTGACACTTAATTGGTAGCAAAATAAAAGCAGATACCTGTGGACACAGCCTCATTTCTCCATGTTTTCCTTCCAGAGTGTCAGGGGATTTATACATACAGAATGGAAGAGAAAATGCTAGGTATTTGTAAACAGGAAAGGGACCTGATGAGATTTTTTTTATTGCTTTTACGCATGGTTCACATTTTCCTCAGCAGTTTGATGTTCCAGAGGGAGCACTATCCAGTTTCGCTTCCTTTGAAAAGAGATGCCAACTAAACATCAGGAAGAACTTTCTGACAGTAAGATGTTTCTGACAGTGGAACGGACTCCCTTTCAATTGTGATGTTCATTGGAGGTTTTTAAGCAGAGGTTGGATGACCATCTGCCATGCATGATTTAGCGGAGAGTCCTGCATTGCAGAAGACGCGGGTGGTGCTGTGGGTAAAACCTCAGTGCCTAGGACTTGCTGATTGTAAGGTCGGTGGTTCGAATCCCCGCGGCGGGGTGAGCTCCCGTCGTTCGGTCCCAGCTCCTGCCCACCTAGCAGTTTGAAAGCACCCCTAAGTGCAAGTAGATAAATAGGTACCGCTTTATAGCGGGAAGGTAAACGGCGTTTCCGTGTGCGGCGCTGTCTCACCAGCTGCAGCTTCATCACGCTG